AATGCAGCGGAAATGTATCAGCCAAACTTCTAACTTTTCAGTATCAAAAGTGCGAAGATTGTGAGGCGCAAATCTGGGTGGAAGGGAAGACGCCAGATTTTGCATCACAAACTTGGCCCTTCTGATTTTCGGGAAATGCAGCGGAAATGTATCAGCCAAACTTCTAACTTTTCAGTATCAAAAGTGCGAAGATTGTGAGGCGCAAATCTGGGTGGAAGGGAAGACGCCAGATTTTGCATCACAAACTTGGCCCTTCTGATTTTCGGGAAATGCAGCGGAAATGTATCAGCCAAACTTCTAACTTTTCAGTATCAAAAGTGCGAAGATTGTGAGGCGCAAATCTGGGTGGAAGGGAAGACGCCAGATTTTGCATCACAAACTTGGCCCTTCTGATTTTCGGGAAATGCAGCGGAAATGTATCAGCCAAACTTCTAACTTTTCAGTATCAAAAGTGCGAAGATTGTGAGGCGCAAATCTGGGTGGAAGGGAAGACGCCAGATTTTGCATCACAAACTTGGCCCTTCTGATTTTCGGGAAATGCAGCGGAAATGTATCAGCCAAACTTCTAACTTTTCAGTATCAAAAGTGCGAAGATTGTGAGGCGCAAATCTGGGTGGAAGGGAAGACGCCAGATTTTGCATCACAAACTTGGCCCTTCTGATTTTCGGGAAATGCAGCGGAAATGTATCAGCCAAACTTCTAACTTTTCAGTATCAAAAGTGCGAAGATTGTGAGGCGCAAATCTGGGTGGAAGGGAAGACGCCAGATTTTGCATCACAAACTTGGCCCTTCTGATTTTCGGGAAATGCAGCGGAAATGTATCAGCCAAACTTCTAACTTTTCAGTATCAAAAGTGCGAAGATTGTGAGGCGCAAATCTGGGTGGAAGGGAAGACGCCAGATTTTGCATCACAAACTTGGCCCTTCTGATTTTCGGGAAATGCAGCGGAAATGTATCAGCCAAACTTCTAACTTTTCAGTATCAAAAGTGCGAAGATTGTGAGGCGCAAATCTGGGTGGAAGGGAAGACGCCAGATTTTGCATCACAAACTTGGCCCTTCTGATTTTCGGGAAATGCAGCGGAAATGTATCAGCCAAACTTCTAACTTTTCAGTATCAAAAGTGCGAAGATTGTGAGGCGCAAATCTGGGTGGAAGGGAAGACGCCAGATTTTGCATCACAAACTTGGCCCTTCTGATTTTCGGGAAATGCAGCGGAAATGTATCAGCCAAACTTCTAACTTTTCAGTATCAAAAGTGCGAAGATTGTGAGGCGCAAATCTGGGTGGAAGGGAAGACGCCAGATTTTGCATCACAAACTTGGCCCTTCTGATTTTCGGGAAATGCAGCGGAAATGTATCAGCCAAACTTCTAACTTTTCAGTATCAAAAGTGCGAAGATTGTGAGGCGCAAATCTGGGTGGAAGGGAAGACGCCAGATTTTGCATCACAAACTTGGCCCTTCTGATTTTCGGGAAATGCAGCGGAAATGTATCAGCCAAACTTCTAACTTTTCAGTATCAAAAGTGCGAAGATTGTGAGGCGCAAATCTGGGTGGAAGGGAAGACGCCAGATTTTGCATCACAAACTTGGCCCTTCTGATTTTCGGGAAATGCAGCGGAAATGTATCAGCCAAACTTCTAACTTTTCAGTATCAAAAGTGCGAAGATTGTGAGGCGCAAATCTGGGTGGAAGGGAAGACGCCAGATTTTGCATCACAAACTTGGCCCTTCTGATTTTCGGGAAATGCAGCGGAAATGTATCAGCCAAACTTCTAACTTTTCAGTATCAAAAGTGCGAAGATTGTGAGGCGCAAATCTGGGTGGAAGGGAAGACGCCAGATTTTGCATCACAAACTTGGCCCTTCTGATTTTCGGGAAATGCAGCGGAAATGTATCAGCCAAACTTCTAACTTTTCAGTATCAAAAGTGCGAAGATTGTGAGGCGCAAATCTGGGTGGAAGGGAAGACGCCAGATTTTGCATCACAAACTTGGCCCTTCTGATTTTCGGGAAATGCAGCGGAAATGTATCAGCCAAACTTCTAACTTTTCAGTATCAAAAGTGCGAAGATTGTGAGGCGCAAATCTGGGTGGAAGGGAAGACGCCAGATTTTGCATCACAAACTTGGCCCTTCTGATTTTCGGGAAATGCAGCGGAAATGTATCAGCCAAACTTCTAACTTTTCAGTATCAAAAGTGCGAAGATTGTGAGGCGCAAATCTGGGTGGAAGGGAAGACGCCAGATTTTGCATCACAAACTTGGCCCTTCTGATTTTCGGGAAATGCAGCGGAAATGTATCAGCCAAACTTCTAACTTTTCAGTATCAAAAGTGCGAAGATTGTGAGGCGCAAATCTGGGTGGAAGGGAAGACGCCAGATTTTGCATCACAAACTTGGCCCTTCTGATTTTCGGGAAATGCAGCGGAAATGTATCAGCCAAACTTCTAACTTTTCAGTATCAAAAGTGCGAAGATTGTGAGGCGCAAATCTGGGTGGAAGGGAAGACGCCAGATTTTGCATCACAAACTTGGCCCTTCTGATTTTCGGGAAATGCAGCGGAAATGTATCAGCCAAACTTCTAACTTTTCAGTATCAAAAGTGCGAAGATTGTGAGGCGCAAATCTGGGTGGAAGGGAAGACGCCAGATTTTGCATCACAAACTTGGCCCTTCTGATTTTCGGGAAATGCAGCGGAAATGTATCAGCCAAACTTCTAACTTTTCAGTATCAAAAGTGCGAAGATTGTGAGGCGCAAATCTGGGTGGAAGGGAAGACGCCAGATTTTGCATCACAAACTTGGCCCTTCTGATTTTCGGGAAATGCAGCGGAAATGTATCAGCCAAACTTCTAACTTTTCAGTATCAAAAGTGCGAAGATTGTGAGGCGCAAATCTGGGTGGAAGGGAAGACGCCAGATTTTGCATCACAAACTTGGCCCTTCTGATTTTCGGGAAATGCAGCGGAAATGTATCAGCCAAACTTCTAACTTTTCAGTATCAAAAGTGCGAAGATTGTGAGGCGCAAATCTGGGTGGAAGGGAAGACGCCAGATTTTGCATCACAAACTTGGCCCTTCTGATTTTCGGGAAATGCAGCGGAAATGTATCAGCCAAACTTCTAACTTTTCAGTATCAAAAGTGCGAAGATTGTGAGGCGCAAATCTGGGTGGAAGGGAAGACGCCAGATTTTGCATCACAAACTTGGCCCTTCTGATTTTCGGGAAATGCAGCGGAAATGTATCAGCCAAACTTCTAACTTTTCAGTATCAAAAGTGCGAAGATTGTGAGGCGCAAATCTGGGTGGAAGGGAAGACGCCAGATTTTGCATCACAAACTTGGCCCTTCTGATTTTCGGGAAATGCAGCGGAAATGTATCAGCCAAACTTCTAACTTTTCAGTATCAAAAGTGCGAAGATTGTGAGGCGCAAATCTGGGTGGAAGGGAAGACGCCAGATTTTGCATCACAAACTTGGCCCTTCTGATTTTCGGGAAATGCAGCGGAAATGTATCAGCCAAACTTCTAACTTTTCAGTATCAAAAGTGCGAAGATTGTGAGGCGCAAATCTGGGTGGAAGGGAAGACGCCAGATTTTGCATCACAAACTTGGCCCTTCTGATTTTCGGGAAATGCAGCGGAAATGTATCAGCCAAACTTCTAACTTTTCAGTATCAAAAGTGCGAAGATTGTGAGGCGCAAATCTGGGTGGAAGGGAAGACGCCAGATTTTGCATCACAAACTTGGCCCTTCTGATTTTCGGGAAATGCAGCGGAAATGTATCAGCCAAACTTCTAACTTTTCAGTATCAAAAGTGCGAAGATTGTGAGGCGCAAATCTGGGTGGAAGGGAAGACGCCAGATTTTGCATCACAAACTTGGCCCTTCTGATTTTCGGGAAATGCAGCGGAAATGTATCAGCCAAACTTCTAACTTTTCAGTATCAAAAGTGCGAAGATTGTGAGGCGCAAATCTGGGTGGAAGGGAAGACGCCAGATTTTGCATCACAAACTTGGCCCTTCTGATTTTCGGGAAATGCAGCGGAAATGTATCAGCCAAACTTCTAACTTTTCAGTATCAAAAGTGCGAAGATTGTGAAGCGCAAATCTGGGTGGACGGGAAGACGCCAGGTTTTGCATCACAAACATGGCACTTGTGATTTTCGCGAAACGCAGCGGAAATGTATCAGCCAGCCATTTCAATTTTCTACGCTTTGCATTGCAAATTTCAATTTTCCATGGACTTTGCAGTTATCATTGCAAATGCAAATTTAGCACTTCGCTACATTTGAAAATATTGGTACAAATGAAGAGGAGCAGCTTTGTGAAGAAAGCTTGCGACTATGCGTGAAGGCTACAAAAAGTTTAGACTGAAAACTGCTACAGAGGGACACTAAGGTATGTAAAATTGTTCTTCTGCCATGATATGAGCAGTAACAACGTCAATGCTTGCGGGTGCATCTACGTCTACGGCGATTCGATAAAAACATAACACGAAGCTTTTGGCTCCGTGACGTCACAACAAAAACCCTGTGCGTCAGTTGAATGCTGCAAGCCCTTTCAAAACAAAATCTACACTGGCGGAAAACGCGATGTGCTCCTTCAGGCACCAGTGCATAATATGATATTTATAGGCCGCGCTGCCTGGAAAGTTGAGTATTGAAAAGAACCGACCATATCCGTAATTACGCAAGAGGGATTTGGTATGCTGGACTAGTTCAATCCCACCGAAAAGAGTGCGCAACGGCACTCGTTCGCGACAAAAACGATGGTGACGACACGCAATATAAGACAACCGAATTATAGGATACCGACCTGTAGTTTCTGTCGGCTAGATAGTGAAGCATCACACCGACTATACCACAACGAATTGTCGGCCGACCAGAGTGGAGGGTTTGCGTGGACATACGACGCCGCATCAAACACAGACTCTGAACCAATTTACCACAACACCAATGCTAACAGGACCACTGCGGACGTGGCGATCACCGGGCACGAGAGCGCACTGCTCCGTCTTTCGCTTCACCATCAGACGGGTACCACGGATCTTTTCTTCGGTGCAGCAGCGAAATACGAGCCATTTCATCTACTGTTTCTACTTCTTATCACACTGTTGTCAATCAAGAGAAAACTCGAGGTCGACGGTGTTCGTCACTTAGGACCTGCACCCCGACAGCAAACATGCGCTCGCTCCACATGTACTTGTCCTGTTCTCATCAAGGGTTTTTGGAATTAAAGCGCTTGACAAACATCCAAATCTATTTGACAGGATTAGTAAAGTGTTGACTTCTATCAAGCTTCATCTTCCGTAAGAATAAATTTTTAATTTTGGTTTTCTTGATTTTCCTCTTCATCCACATTTTTTCTGCAGTGTTTTTCCTCTTGCCGACGGTTCCGAGTACGACTTTCGCGTAAGTACTACACCAAGTACTTCGGCTGGAACTTAGACTTTCTGATTCTCATCGCCCGCTCTTCTTCTACGCCAATTCCTTCCGCCATTTGTCGACAAACGCCCCCCGCTTCACGGGGTCAATCGAGAGCAGGCCGTTCAAAAAATCCACCAGCTCCGTCTCGTCTTTCGTGGGAATCCGATTTTCCGTATCGTCTGTTGTCAGCGCTCGCGGATTATGAATTGCAAATCTGTCCGGAGCTTCTGGAATGCTACTGACTGACGATTCGCATGCTGTTTCAGGGTGACCCAGGAGGTCTGGCAAGCAAGACCTAGCATCACAATTTTTATTCAAACGTCGACCTTCCAATGCCTAGTCCGCATGACAAATCTTTGAGCTACAGCTACGAGGCCGCTTTTGCGGTTCATGCATGACAGATTTTTGCGAGTGCGTGATCTCAAATGTGCATCAGAAGTTTGCATGGTTCCCTACAGGACATATCTGCAATGCATAAGGCTCCGGTGCTAGTGCGGGAAGCCCTTGTTCGCCAATCCGGTCTCCGTTCCTTTCTTTCTCCGGAAGCAGGTTGCTCAGCAGTCGCCAGTACTGTAGGACGCGGTTTGGACCCGTCGAGTTGTCGGGCACTTCTCGCGACCGCGCGTAAATATTGTAAGCGCGCAAGGAAACCGGCTTCTGCACTTGCAAAAATATTGCGCTATTCATCTTTTCAGGGGCTAGGAAACTGCACTACATTTTTCTACCTCCTGCAAAAAATATAAATTTCTGATTTTTTAGTATTTTCGTTCATAAGCACGGATCGACGAAAAGGACATAGGTGGGATATTTATGATCAATTCAACCAGCAGTACAAATCAAGTGTGTGATATTTCGCTTTCCTACGAAGCGTTGCAGTTTTTCAACAGCACCTGCTACATGAGAGCACTAGGATTGCAGCATTCCGGGATACCCGTAGTCCATCCACAGTGCTTCCAGTTCTTTATCGAGGATGGCTACCTGTTCTTTCCTCGCTTCAAGGATGGCTAGCTGTTCTGCGAGTTTCCGTTCTTTCTCCTTCTCGTCATCGGCTTGTTGTTTCTCCTCTCTCGCTCCATCTGCTTGTTGTTGTTGTTCCACCACATCAACGACCGGCTTGCTTTCGTACTGCCCCGCTTCTTCGTTCGCGCCATGTCGCTCCAATTTATTCCTCTTTTTGTACGATATGCACCTTCTACACGAAAATCATGCCTGGTCCTGGTCCGGCACGAGGAAAAGTCCACGTGCACGAAACGAACGCTATTACTCGTATACGGACGTTGAAGATGACACCAGGATGTGCTTGGAATAAAACAACCCTTCGCACTACTTGTTGGTGCATCGGAACACATAGTTACTTTACTTCACGTGCACGTGGACAACCACAACTACATTATGGAAGAACATACATAGTGTGAAAAATGGCTTCTAGTGCGACAAATGCAAGCATAACACTGACCTGGACCCAGGTATATAAGTAATTTTTGCGCAAGATATTATCGCTGTTCAAAAACTTTTTGTCCTTGTCGTCACGCTGCAGGACAGGTCCCCCAACCGGCTGTGGCTGCTCCTCGTCCACCATCAAAACCTCCTTTCCGCTGTTCTTCTTTCCGAAAATGTTGAAGCCGCCGCCCTCGTGCAGCAAATTGTCGCTCTTGCTTCCCTGGAGGCCGCGCTCTTCATCGTCCCCGTTCGGGTCTATTTCCAACGACGGAAGCTTCTTCGGCCTTGCCTTCATCGCCTTTGCCATCTTTTTCCCACCACGGAGCGGCTCTTCCTGCTTCTCCAGCGCGAAAACATTTGCGGCCGCAGGATTTGCCAGCGCCGAGGAGGAGGAAGCTGAGGACGATGAGCTTGATGCTGAGGAGGAGGAAGTCGATGCAGGTGATGCGGCTGCCGAGGAGCTCGAAGAGGATGACGACCCCCCACCCATCAGCGGCGCAGTGATGGGCTCTGTTGGCGACGATGCGGGAGAGGAAGAAGACACGGCGGGACCAAACCCGACGTGGAAGGCCGGCAGATCGGGGCTCCCGGCACTTGAGGCAGTGCTGTCGCCCGATTTGTGCTTTTTCAGTCTCCCGGCAGCCCCCGCGCTAGCCGGCCGCTTTACCCCCTCGCCGGCCGGTGGCTTGGCCTGTGCTACATCTCGGAGCCGAAAGGTCATATGATCCCCGCTCGAAGCGTCTAACACCAGCGCACCGCCCTGGGGCAGGGGGAAGAAGGGAAGCACGTAGTCAATAGCCGTGCCGCGGATGTGTTTCGCGTCCCCAAGCACGCCGCGCACGCGGTCAGCCACTGGACCCTGAGCAAACGACGGCACCGCGAGGCTCGCGCCAACGACTCCAAGGCCCCAGGCGTCTTCGATTATCGGCGACGACTTTTCGTAAGCGGCGAAGCTTTTCGTGTACAGGGAGCGAAACAGCTTCTTCGGATGCTCCACAATCACGCCCCGCTTCGGATCCTGCTTTTTCTCGCGTTTGTATATCGCTTCGATCTCCATGTTCATGATGTAGAAACCCCCTTGCTCGGGCGGCACAGACGGGAAGTCCGCAATTTTTATCGCAAGAAAAAACTGCTTCACTGTGAACTTGTGATGCAGAAAATGTATGGACTGCATCTGCAAATATGTCTGGGTGTGGACGATTGCGAGATTTGTCATGCTAGTCTGGCACGGCTCTGAACTCTGTACTGCGTGGCCGCGCAGAGCTCCTCTTGCCTGTCATGCAGACACTCAGTGTCTCATACGGAGTACGCAACTCAGAACCACGGCAAAACTTGTCATGCTGGACAGCGCATTACAGTGTTTTCACTACTCCCTTCCATGCGCCCCAAGTTTCGAGACCCAGACATATTTGCATTTGCCAAAATGGGACACAGAACTATTTGTCTTGCTACATTTTCAAGACGTGGAAGTTTCAGCCGTGTTTTCCGTCGAGAAGCGCGCACGGCAAATTTTCTGTGTCATGTGTAAACAAACTTGCGCCGCAGATCTCGCAAAACAATCACAGCGAAGCACTTTTTTCATGGGATAATTATGGCGCGCTCGCTAATCTTCTTCGCCCGGTCTTCTTTATTTTCGTCCCGCTTTGCAAGAAGTTCGGCGACCTCTTTTGCCTCGCCCATGTCCATCAACACGAAGTGGAGAGTCGAAGGGAAACCCCTGCCGTAGCCAACGTTTTGCAGCTTCAAATCTTATCCAAAGCAAACCTGTCTGGATCTGAAAACCTGTGGCGCTGACTTGCGCACGGCTGGAGCGCTTGCACTGGCTGCCAAGCTGACACGACATACATGCGGATCGGTTTTGGCTTTTGCTACCTGCCACACATTACAGTTACAAGTCGCCGATCTGGTTATATATTGCATAACAAAAGAAGGAGCGGCTCCTCATGCGGCCGAGGCCTTCCACGCAAAGGGGTACACGGCACACGCGAAAAACGGGCGCCGCCTTTCCAGACCCAAACAGGTCCGCAGTGCATAGATCTCGGTGGGCGTAGCCGACGGCCTCGAGGTGGAACAGGGCCCGCAGGCCGTCCTTGTTGAACTTCAGCAGCTGCCCGGCCCCCGTTCCCTCCGGCAGGCCGACGACTGCCGGGACCAGGGCGGCGCACAAAATGCTGGACCCCTCCAGATCCAGCACGGCCAGGACGTTGTCGTGGGGCTGCCCCTGCAGTTTTTGGAGGATTTTGGCCTCCTTTTCGAACGCTTCCCTCACTGCACTACTCGCTTCCTGCGGCAGATATTTTCTCGCCGCCAACTGGAACGTCCCGGCGGCAAGGTCGGCAACGGCGCACAACTCCACTTTGAGACTGCGACCCAGGTGCCACTTCGTGTCATACACGCTGAACAGTTTGCGGGAGCTGTGCTGCTGAGTGCGTGTCTTCTTCCCGAACCGTTTGGCGGGTACATATTTGCTTGCTCGAACCTGCTCTTCCCGGGCCTTCTGCTTGAACACGTCCACGGTGAGATGCCCTGCATGCCGGGTCGCAGGCCTCTGAGGCTGCTGCCTGCTGCATTCTCGGCAGATAATCTCGCCCGCCGCGGACACGGTCCAGTTGTCGTGGTAATTATACAGTGGCGTACTGCAGCTGGCGCAACACGGGTAGAGGCGCGCCTCTGTGATCCCTGCGTCCCCACGATCAGTCGTGACTTTCAATCGCAGACCGGCCGCATCCTTTTCTGGCTTCAGGCTTTTCTCTCGACGCTTATCGGTTGCAAATCATACGCCATTCAGGGTGTGGAATGATTGCATCTTTCTCTACTTCTTCGAGAATTTCAATTTTGAATCCGCAATAGATTGATAGATAAGTAGTATTTCGAGGCTAATATTAATTGCATCATGTTCTCTACAAGAAAACTATCACTCGCCATGCTTGTGAGGACCGGAAAGGCTAGGAAATCATGGCTCTTGAAGTAGTCACTTCACCTTTCCACACGAAGAACAGATATAGTTTGCATCGGGTATTCTTGCTTCACCTGTGCCCGCTTCTTCTTCGCTTCTTCCGTCATGCGATACTGATTCCAATCGGCCCGCTGAAGCCTCGAATCCGTGGGAATTTCGGCCGCAGTTGGACTGATGATCGTTGATTCTTCGAGGATTATTCTTGTCGCCACCATCTCATTGCCGGTTTCCGTTGCGATTACCACTTCATCTTCTGGCTCGCCAAGGTTTGTGCTGCTGTCGAGGAAGAGGAATATTGTGCCGTCTTGCTGCTTGCCGTGCGCGCCGCGCGCCCAGTCCAGAGGGGGCACGAGCAGGGCTCCTTCCTTTTCTAGCTGTTTGTTTGTAACATCACGTAGAGCTGAGCCCGCGGGCACGGCATCCGGCGTCGCCGCTCCCAGGAAGGTTGACGCCTGGAACTCCTTCAAGGTCAGTTCGTGCATCACCCTGCCGCCACCTGCTCCCTCGCGGAAAACCTTGACAAACTTGGGAGGGGGCTTTTTTTGCACCGTTTCCACGTAATCCAGGAGCCGGAAGTGCACGCCGTGCTGGTCCACGCCCCGACTATGACAGTGCACAACTCCGTCTCTCTCCCGTGAATTTGTCATGCAAAAAAAGAAAAACATACTTAAAAATAAAATCCGAATCTCAGCAGTTGTTATCTTGCATGCAGGCCTGAATTGCATGACAGGTTGCAGCATGTCGAAAAACAACAGTGTCATCCGTGCTTGGATGATTTGGTGTGCTGGAGCTACATTCTTTGCTGCTACTCGCGCAAAGGAAATCAGGGGGAGAGGCAGTAATCATGCACTCCCATACCAATACCATCTCGTCCATTTTGCCTCTTCCATCGTGTGTGCCAGAAATTTGTCGACGCTTCACGTGCACGGTTCGGGTGAAGATGAATGTCACAGCGTCCCGCCAGCGCGCCGAGATGCGCCTGTGTTCAAGTTTTTTGTTGCAGATAGGTAATTTCTGCTTCATGTTCACCCCATGCCATACGATATGGGGTGAATATTCCAAGTAAAAACATGGATATTGCATCTCGTCTTACGAACCGCATTTATACAAAAAAGTTTGAAATACCTGTGAGCTGCCACACCGGTGGTTGCTCTTCCGCAGCACTACACCCTGTACCACGAGGACGAGCACGTGGTAAGTGGAGTTGTGGTCTTGGCCAGATGCACTATCTACTATAGTAGCGGGACGCAAAATACACAGTCCCGGTGGCACCCTCGTTACTCTTCCAAGTACACCTTCGCGTCGGAAATACTTGGTTGCAGCTGACCTAGAAAGAGGACGTGATCTCCAAAGAACCAAAGTTGTAAGCCACGACTTGGAGATGATGGGTCCAGTGTTCTCAGTCACGCCGGCTTCTCGAATCGGAGAACCTGGTCGAAATCCAAAGCTCGTACTTCCGAATCAGCAAGACAAATCCACGCTGACGTAGTCGCAACCGCACGAGATCCCTTCGTCAGCTTCTCGAATCCGCATCAGCATGACAAATTGCCGTCAGCTTCTCGTCGAATCCGGAGCTAAATTATTTGATATCATCGTGTACTAGCCCAGACTAAACAAGTCGGCGCTCCTACTAGTTGTAGTCAATCTGCGTCGCAAATGAATCCGGATCTTGTACTGCGTCCTCCTGGTGTGGCGTAGCGAAGAAGCAAGTGCTGACTGATACTAGAATGACAAACAACACTGCCACGTCGTCAGCAGGATACTGGAACGTCGACCTGCATCTCAAAGCCCGCCTGCAGGTCGTGCTTAGAGTAGGTCGTAGTTAGAGTCGAAACCTAAACCGTTGTTCTCCGTAAATTAATGCGGACTCTCCCGCTCTAAATGCACAGAAACAGATGCTGGTGATGGTCGCCCACACCGCAAGCAAACTCCTGAACGAGAAGTTTCGGATCCTGAAACCGATTGTTCGAACGCGGGGACCTCCTTCTGCAATGAATCCGGGATCAGGGAAGTTGTGGTTTCTTGCAGTGGTCCAACAGCACAGGGACATTTACTGCACAGCAAAATCTGTGTTGTAGTGGTAGCCAAAACAGCTCTTCCTGTGAAGGAAAAGGACGTGGCCGTGATGCACAAGTGGTTGCTGAACCTCCACGGGGCCGTTTTGATGGCAGCTTCTGTAAAACTGCTTGATGTGGTAAATAAACCAGGTTCACCTAGTACCCCCTGGTAGTGCGAGTCGGAATCACGCTGTTCAGCACGCTTTATTCTGATTTTATTTCTGGAAGTTGTACGACGACGAGCTGTGGCACTACTGCACAATGTACAAACCCTCCGCCGTACTGCTCGGGACGCCGCCAGTAGCGTGCTTTTAACACAACTTCAAAAATTTCGGCTCATCCGGGACCGGATTCGCTCTTGCACTGCTGCTGCTCCCACCTAGAGAACAAACTCCTTCCTGGTTCTTGGACAAGTACGTTCCGGTAGTCTTCCAGCTGCACAATATATCAGGGAAGAGGTAGTTTTACAGCCTTGTCTCCCTTGGCACTCGTAGTTGTAATTCAAGTTCAACTCAAGTAGCAGTGCCGTCCGCACGTTGAGGACAAGCTTCCTGGTTTTGTCCGTTCTGCTCGTTATTCTTCGTTCCAATATCAATGGACGCAGGTAGGAGCAAGACTCGACTCCGCTGGACCAGGATGCGTTTGCCGCTGGTGTGTAACAGTAACTTCGAAGAAGAAGATCCTTGGCGTTATGAACCTCTCGGAAACGTCGACAAGCGAAGCCAATCGGCTATTATTCAAAGATGGTTGCCTTTTTGATATTCACCCCGAGGTGCGCAACTTTATTTGAAGAGTGCGCGACGAGGAAGTGCACGTCAAACAACAGTTTTAGAGACTGCAGCTTTGGCTTCCCTATCTTCTGTTTATTAGTGCTGTTTCGAGTATATCGAGCGATCGTCTTACTTGTTGTTTTTTTGTATTCTTATTCTTTTCGAAAAAAAAAAATCACAAGCTACAACTTTTTTTATTTCCACTTCAATGTTCACTTTTGTCGAGGTTCTGGTCGGTAGAGTGACAATCAGGTTATTGCGCAAAAAAACAGGATCATGACGAGACGAACTTGATGTGAGTTCTCTTCCCACGTCGAATGCCAGCTTGAATTTTTTCAGGATCGATCCCATCGAGACGAAAATAAAATTGGCAGCGAGCAACAAGACATAGATCTCGGCGACGAGCGACGAAGAGCAACAACAAATCGAAAGCGAGGCGAGCTCAGAAAGCGGCTCTCTGCTGCTAGCCCTGAACGCAAACAATTACAAGCCACAACACAATCTTTCATGGCGCCTGTGGTCCAATACGATCGAACAGGGCCTGAGCCGTCAACACCGCTCTCAAAGCATAACTAGTACAGGGAGTCTACGTCGACGTACTTCCCCTTACTTTGTTTTTTTGGTTTTTCCATTTTTCTACACGGGTACATCAAGAAGAAGGTTGGTTTTTGAAGAATTTGAGCCACCTGTCGACGTTGGCGTCGAAGTTGCAGCTAGAACTGATAAACCACTCGGATCTTGATTACAATATTGGGACTTGGAAATCATCATCAGCTTTCGGGTTCGGCTTCAGATGCAGCTGAGGAGCAACAATATTCGAACATCAACTTTCAGAGGCTAACCTAAGACCGAAAGTCAACACCTTATTGCAGAGTAAAGTCAGCACAGGGCTGGCGAAGTAGTTTTATTGAAAATTATCCTTGTGAAATGGTGCGCGACACAGCTCAACGGTTGCAGGAGTTTGGCCTGTCGCTGCTTTCGCCGAGAAATCACGAAGAGGAGGATGAAGAAGAAGGAGCGGCGGGGTTGTTGTTCTGTTTCTCCTGCCGCTTGTGTTCCGCCCTTGCCTGCTGCAGGCTCTGCATGATGTAGGGCGACGGGTAGTCGATTATCAAATGCAAAAGTGTCTGGGTCTGGAAGGTTGAGGTTCTAAAGTTGTAATGCTGTCTCTGGATTCTGAAGAAATTTGTATTGCGTGACCAGCAAGAGAACTCCAGCCTGTGCTACGCGGAGAGGGCATTTCTCATGCGGCAGAGGCATCGCAAAGTCCTGTAAAAATCTGTGATGCTAGAGCATGCATCACAGACATCACGCGTCATTCAAAATATGCATGACAAGCCTGGCAATCTTCCAGACCCAGACATTTTTGCGCTTGATATCGATAATTCGGACACCATTCAGCCAGGTGTTGCCCACGTCTTCGATCTTAGGCGGGTCTTTCAACGGAGTGATGCGATCCAGTTCGTAGGCCATGACGGGTTTGAAATTGCAAGTTTCCTATCAAATGGAAACATGTCTGGGTCTGGAAGGATGCAACGTTTGTTATGCACATTTTGCATCATGACTCCTGATGTCTGTGATGCATGCCCCAGCATCACAGACTTTGTGAGGATTTCCTGATGCCCATACCGCATGAGACATGCCGTCTTTCCATGGCAAAAGCAGGACCGCTTTTGCTCTTCATGAAATAAAGGCTTTGGTAGAATGCAGACGCAGAGTCACAAGCTGCATCCTTTCAGACCCACACATATTTTCATTCGATATTTCCCAGGTGAGGGGCGGACGCGGCTCCCCGAGGTCCTCCGCTTTTACATTCGGGAGCCCTAGCCATTTGGCCACTGCTTTTGTGCCCCGGTCGGGGTTGGACTTGTAGCCGCGGCTGGTGATGTGGTCCAAGAGGTCCGCCTTCGTTTTCAAGTGGACCACCTTGGACAGCACGCCGACCGCGACAATCGCCTGGCTCCTGTTGTTATCAAATGCAAAAGTGTGTGGGTCTGGAAGATTGCAATTTGTCATGCTGTTTTTGGACTCTAAAAAAATTTGTATTTTTGCATGACCAGCAATAGGGGTCCAATTTGTGCTATGCGGACAAGCGATTTCTCATGCGGAAGGCGGATCAGGAAGCCCTCTAAAAGTCTGTGATGCTCGGCCATGCATTACAGACATCATGGGTCATGAGAAATATGCATGACAAATCTCGCAATCTTCCAGACCCAGACATTTTTGCATTTGATAGTTGTGGCGGATCAGGAAGGGGATTATGGATTGCAAAAATGTCTGGGTCTGGAAGATTGCCAGGTTTCTCATGCATGTTTTGCATGACCCAGAAGGTGTGGAATGTGGGCTCTAGCATCACAAGTTTTGAGAGGGCTACGCAATGCTAAGTCCGCATGAGAAATGCCGGCCTCTGGTAACCAAAGCTGAGGACTTTTGCTGGTAACGCAATACAGATTTTTGCATCGATCAGATTTAGAGTGACACACTCGGACTCTTCCAGACCCAGACATGTTTGCAATGCATAGGGATGCCAGCGTCACAACCTTTCGGCGAGTGTTATGGCGGTCGCAAGCGTTACACCACTCGCTGCTACTTACACGAAGATGGCTTCACGTTGCCGTGCCGGTGTCCATATCAGAGGAGCTGCAACTACAACTGACCCATAAGTAGCCAAAGGCGGGAAGCCAAAGTAAAGCTTGTTCATCTTCATTCGCTTCTTGCATTACAAAAAATATGGAACAGGTCTTTGCGCTTCCATTTGGCGTGTCAAAAATTTGGCACCCGGGCCATCTCGGTCATGCAGAATTTGCCTGCGCCTCGCATGACAAAGCAGGCCGAAGTTATCTAGCAGCGAGCAGCGTAGCAGTGGCTTGCCAATGTCATACTTTCGCCCCTTTCCGATACTCGGCGGTCTTGACCTTTAAGACGAAATCGTCGCAGTGTTCCGCCTCTAAGCTCGCCACTCCGACCCGGGGCTCCTCGTGCAGGAACAAGGGCTCAAACTTGGCCACCCGGCCGTGGAACCCGCCGTCTTTGGTTTCTTCCTCCCTCCAGCACTTCGCGAGCTGGTCCTGGAGTGCCTTACTGGCCTCGCCGACGGCGTCGCGCAGAGCACCGACTTGCGCGCTGCCCATGGTGGATTCCTTGACCGCGTCTTCCAATTCCCGGACCGAAGTGTCCAGCGCGAGCTTCAACGCCAACAGCTTCTTCTCTTCGTTGTTCCATCCGTGGTTGAATTTGCTCGCAATGGCACCGGCCGCCAGCTTGCACTGCCACTCGACGAAGGCCTGTAACGAACTTTGTCCACTGCAAATGTGTCTGGGTCTCCTGGAAGAATGCAAGATTTATTGTGGTTGTACACATTGACACTTTGCATGACCAATGATGACGGTATTTTTCTGCATGAGCATGAGCATGAGCATGACATAGCATCACAAATTTTGTTGAGAGGGCATCCACCTGAGGCCTATTCCGCACAAGAGATGCTCTCGCTGCGTACTTACCACAAACTGGACTCCTCTGTCTACTTGCCGGTCATGCAAAAATACAGATCATTCATTTTTTCGAATCCAAAGACAGCATCACAAGTTGCATCCGTCCAGACCCAGATGACATCACATTTGCAAGAGATATACCGCCGTGCCCCGTTACGATAGACTGTCGCAGGTCTACCACCGTCATGTACGTCCCTGCGTGGTTCGGTTGCAGTCGGTATCAAGTACAAAAATGTCTGGCTCTGGAAAAGTGTAAACTTGTGATGCAGATTTTCCATCACCCGTGAGGTCTGGAGTGCGGGACTCAGCATGACACACTCTGCGAGGTGGTCTCTGCCATGCCTATCCTGCATGAGAAGCTCAAAAGTGAACAGGTTTTGGTAATCATGCAATACAGATTCTTACATGATTCAGATCTACCACGACAAGTTGCCACCTTCCAGACCCAGACATTTTTGCATTTGATAGTCGGAAAAGGTTGTGCTTCGTGGAGATTTCTCGCTCCCGCTTCTTGAGGTAGGCGTAGATTTGTTTCTTGTCATCCATGCCCTGGGTGATCGGCTCCTTTCCGCCGGGCTTCTTCGCCTGGATGACGCCTTTTTCGAGCCACGGAGCACGCTTGTTCCCGATGAACAGCTCCCACTCCTGCGCCCACGTGGTGATTTCTTTGTTCATTTCGTTCATGGCGAGTCTCGCACTGGGGCCCCCGCCATCGGGGAGGCGGGGGAAGTATCCACTGCAAATACGTCCGGGTCGTGCTCTGAAATGTTACAAAATCTGTCATGCAGGTTTTGCATAGCGCAGAAGGTCTGGAATGCGAACTGTAGCATCACAATTTTCAAGAAGTAAGTAGGCGTCCCAGTGCGTAATATTTATAATTCCATTCTGCAAAGAAAAAAGACCATCTTCGGGTGCCCAAGAAAAGTGCATGTCTTTATTTGCTTGTGCAACACAGATTTTTGTATCGTCCAGACCTAGCGTGACAGATTCAGATCCTTCCAGACGAGGACCCAGACATATTTGCAATGCATAGAAATTTGGAATTTGCGATCTGATCCTCCGCGTCTTTCTTTTTCTCTTCCGCCTCCTTCCTGTCCTTCGCAACCGTGATCTTGCTCAAATCGACATTGATACGTGGTTGGAGATTCATGCTCTCCATGAACTCGCTGGCCATGAAGGGGCCCTCCTCGAGCCACACCTCCTTCTGATTATCGGTGGGATTTTTCTCATTTTTCTTGGCCGGATCTTGGTCCTGCATCTGGACGTCCTCATCTTCACCGCTAGAGGGGGGCTCGGGGGCGAATTGCACTGATTCTTGTTCGAAGGTGTACGATGACGCGAACGCAGGTTTGGAAAAATTGATCTCCATCGCGGCTAGCTTATTGGTCTTGTTTTCCAGAAAACTGTATGCCTTGCAAAAGTATCGTGTACTAGTATCAATTGCATGACAAATTGATTTAGCATTACAACAAATTGAATTTGTAATGCGGATCTGCTTTTAGGAGAAGGAATGCATAATAAATGCAATGAGTACGAGCACGATGCTTTTGCACTGCATAAACTGCGGAAGTCTTTCGCCGCATCCATCTTCATCTTCATGCCGTGGTACTCGCGGATGTAGTATGCATTGCAAATATGTTGTGTGGGTCTGGAAATTCGGAACTTGTAATGCGGGCCCGACATTTCTGTGAGGTCTGTATGGCAGGACTGAAAAAAGTCGTAGCCTCTTTTGTTGTACAAAAACGCAGCTTCTCATGCGGAGTGCGTATGAGAAAGCGTTCTGCCAACTTGTCATGCTTTCCGGCATAACAAGGTGCTTCTGCTTTCATCATGCACATTTTCGCATTACAACTTTCCAGACCCAGACATATTTGCATTTGATAAGTAGTCTTCCGTGGTCATGCTTCCCGGCTCGGGGGCGGCGTCCGCTTCGACCTGGGCAGGAGTTGTATGGCCTTCTCAAACGTTTACTACAGTGAATGCTGTTTTTCATAAGTTTGATGCTAATAAACCGACATAATCATGACACTGTGATGCAAGAATAGCAAAAATTGTGAAAGGGGCGAGAAGCGAGTTTGCGTGTCTTGCACTGCAGATCTGAAAAGCATTTTAATTTTTTCAATGGTAATATCTACTGCGTGGAAAACTTGTCATGCGAACAAGTACTAGCTTGTGCTTGATCTTCGTTTGGAAGGGCAGAGCAATTTCACGGAACAAATGATGTAAACAGCGTATATCACTGTCACGTTGGAGAATTCCATAAGCTGCAGAAGCATGCTCGGGTTTCAGGACCACGTCACGTCCGTTTCCTTCTCCGCCTCCCTGCAGTTTGCGCTTCTTGCTCCGTTATGCATTGCAAATATGTGGTCCTCTGGGTGTGGAAAGAACCAAACTTTTCTCATGCGCATTTCACAACACACACGAATCTCTCTACTTGCATAAGCAGCAAAAGTTGTCCAATTTCTGTCACCGAATTATATGGGGGATTTGTCATGCGCACGCGGCATTGCAGAACCTCTACCTCCCCCACGAGACCTATGATCATGCTAGGACTTAAATGCCCGACCTTGTGAATCATGCAAAAACACCAGCATGACAAAAATTTGCAGTCTGGAGCCAGAGACATATTTGCATTGGATATGCGTCCCGTGTCCTCCCCGCCTCCATCGCCCTCCGCCGCAAATTTTATGGAAGTGGTCCCAGCTGTGTCAATCTCAATTGTGATAAAGAAGAGCCGACGAGGTTTTGAACCAGAATACTTGAATTTCTAATGCGAAATAACAGTGTGCATGAATAGGCAAATGCTTGCTGCTGTCGACTCTAATTCATCCCAGCAGTTGAAATTCTCACCCCAGCAGTGACCATATTTTCATCGTTGCTCTTCGCAGCATCGTCGCTCGCCGCCACCAACAGCGGCTCCGGCTGGTCATCGTCGTTCTCGCTTTTCGCGTCGCTGTCGCTCTTGCTCGAAGCGTCGTTTTTTTCGCCTTCTTTTTTTTCCTTCGTCTCCCCTTCCCAGGAGTACTCGGCCAGCCCGCCTTGCAGATTGATGACGTGGATGGTAGAAGAAGGTCCGCGAACTATTGTGAGGGAAAATATCCCTCGTTCCCCATACTGAAAAGAACGACTTGATTCATTTTTGTGTACACAAAAGTATAAGAAAAAATCAGCTCTGTCTTGCATCCATTAAACTCGGGGGCCATGATGTGGAGAGCACAACTCCACGCGTCAACAAGAAGAACCGGGTGAGTGATATACTCGCAAGCCCTTGATGCAATGCAGAGCTGATCTGTCGTGTACAACGCATCAGAATCTTCAGAAAAAAAATCGTTTTCAATATGGGGAAAGCGCCGGGAAGTAGTTTTCAGCTCCGTATCACCGCCGAGGAGCTTGTTCAGAAAGGTCTGCACCTGTTGATTCGCTTTCCACTCGACCCACTGGCCGCCGCCGCCGGAGCGCTCGATAAAAGCCTTCGCGCCCAAAAACTTTCCACCCAAACCGTCGCTCCGCGCGACGTAAAGCTTTCCAGGAGTCGGCGGCAGCGTATCGCCTTTCTTGTGAAGCAGCGACATTGCGTGCGCGTTGTTTTCGTTGTCGTTGGAGTAGATCTGAACTGTTGGTTTGAATACTGCAGCTACCGGACTAGCTTGCAGCAAGTAGTTGTGTGATGCTTGAGCAGCGCGTTGTATAGCTTCCGATGATGTGGTTGATGTAGTAGATGCTCTTGCGGTAGATACTGCTGGTCGTTGATAGGAAGAAGTACTGGTCGAAGAAGATTTCTTGTTGTACACAGTGAATGCAGCTCCTTCCGGAGGATATAAACTACCTGGGAAAGAACGACTTTGCGTTTTTTCTCCACCTGGTTGTAGTAGTGATGATAAGCACGACGTTCACGCGTTTTCTTGTTTGCTCAACACTTTATTATTAGCACTTTAGTAGAAGTAGAAGCTGAAGCTTAGTTGTAGTATCCTTTTTTACAAAAAAAAAGGCAGCTTTATTTCCTTTCCCTACATGTAGTTTTTCAAAAGGTTCGAGCGTTCTCGTCTCGTCATTCTCCTCGGACGGAGAAAATGACAGAAAAACAGTTGGTTTATTTTACGACGCCAGCGTTGCAACAGATAGAAAAAGTTTCTCAAAATAAATCCTCGCCGAGGATCGATCCCAAAATCGTTGATTACATCGAAGTTGATCCCAACAGACAGCACAATCGAAGATCCAAAAGTGCTCATCGAAGATCGCAAAACTCATCACCTCTTCGAAAAAATAGGGCAATTCCCGACGGCGAAAACGAACCCCGATGTTGACCACGAATTCGCCGGCGCAAATAACGAGCAGCTTTTCTCTGTCGCAGTTCTTGGAACACGAACTTATTCATCTACGAGCCGAGCAGTCACAGCTTCAAGAGGGCAAAAGAAAAGAATTTTTTCGTAGAGTGTACAAGTTTTTTCGTTTATCAGTCAGTACTTGTCTCCAAATCTGTACAGTGTTACAAAGCTTGGTGATATGTTGCATGTTGGACTCTTGAAAAAATCGGTAACGGTAGTGTAAACATCAACCAGCAGGTCGCTGAGTTGTAGTCTACACCTGCAAATATGACAGGAAAATGAATCGAATTGTTTCGACGTAGTAAATATGACATTTTCTATCATGCTTTGTGCGTCAGCAACACAAAGAATTTGGGTAATATCCATGAAGTCGTTAAATTTTGTCTGTGCAAGAAGGAGGGAATGTGAACTGCTCATACTGATGCCCTTCCTCTTCTGGACGCGGACTATCAATTATGTTGACAAAGAGCTGATTTGAGTACGTAGTTGTACTTGCATTTGTTATATAGGTTTGAAATCGAAACTGTATTGATCGTCTGAGAAAGAAAAATGTAAAAATCAGTCAAACTACAAAGATGAGTGCTTATTACGTGCATTGCACGAAAGGGTAGAGCGAAACTTGAAATAGTAGATGTTTGAGCTTCCGATTCAGTCGAAATTGCGCTACAGAATAAAGACGAGTTGGATATGGATATTATTTTTTATTTTTACATCTAGAAGTGCAACGTATTATTTCCATGTGTTCTTGAGTACTCTGGCCACACTGCACAGGGCGATGTGAAAGCTAAGTTACTTCGAAACGACAAAAACGGATGCTCTACTTTTCGTGCAACTGTTGCACGGGTTTGGTCAAAATTGGAATGAAGTAAAAATGATTGTAAAAGTTGCGCTCCCCACGGCTACTTCTCGGCCAAAGCCAATCACCCCTGCTGCATCCGCGGAAATATCACAGAGTAGTCGCTTATGAAAGTGCGCAACTCCCCATCCCCTCACTTGTCATGCAAAATCCCAAGTCTACCTTTTGCCTCTTAGCACTTTTTGCATGACAGCTTCCGAAAGCCAAAACAGCACTACAATCCTCTAGGAATTTGTCATGCAAAAGCTGCATCTTGGCCAGCGCTTGTCCTTGTGTTGCTGTTCATGCAATACAAATGAGGGAAAGGGGGAAAAATGCTCTTTCATATCGCTGACACGAGTCTCATTTATTTTTTCTCCTCCCCGCTCGTCGTGGTGTCCTCCGTCCAAAACTCCCTTCCGACTCCCATAAACTCCAATGCCTTCTCGCACCGACCCTTCTCTTTAGCAGAAGCCGTTGCAAAATACGATGCGTCTTCATCTCGGAGAGGAAATCCAGCACAAAGAAATGGCGGGTGCACTTTGTGTAGCCGGCACAGTGCTTTTAAATTCCGCTCGTATCCGCCATCCTCGGTGAACGCCTGCTTTGCTTTCCCGCAATTCCCATTCCCGTATCCTGCAAAACCTCACCTCAACCCTCTAATTTGTGATGCGAATCCAAATCAGCAGACATTCAATGTTTGGGCAAAGTTTGGTTGTTTGAAATTGGTATTTGCCTATACAAATTTCAACACAATCACAATCTCGATCTTGCGTGTTGTGCATCACAAATTAAGTGCGTCTGTGATTTTTCGTGGCGTAGTACCCCGTCGGCAGAATTGATCTTCGCCTCCACCAGCGCTACCCTGATATCGGGTGCAAATATGTTTGGGTCTGGAAAAGTGCCGAAGTTTGTCATGCGGGTTCCTTTGCAGGGCCCAGAAGATCTGGAATGCAGAGCACCTCAGTACTTCTACAGGCTCTGCAATATTGACGTTGTGTTTGCAATACGTATTCTGCATAAGAAACCCTTTTTTCTTCGTGTGGCCCACAAGATTCGTCAGCTTTATGTCCTACTCAGGCATGACAGATTTCTGTGCGCCTGACGGAGAGCATCACAAAATCGAATCTTTCCAGACCCAGACGTAACTACTGCGGCTCATACCTGACTGGTGTACACGATTGTGGTGGACAATACACGAAGACGTCGCTGAGGGCGGTGCCGTTAGATCCACCGCACAGTGCCGTCACAGAGAGGGCGGGCTCGTCCCCATTTTCGGTCGCGAAAAGCAGTCGCAACGCGCTGTAGCTGCTACCGGCGTTGTCGCCCCCAGCCACGGAAGATGAAGCTTCGCTGGTGAACCTCGTGTTCTGTTCCTGGACGAGCGACAGTTCTCGTTTTCCACCCAGAAAGCACAATGGCCTCCCCATGCGCCCTTCGCGGAAACACTTTGTTGCTTCGCTGCTCCAGTTCGTTTTCAAAAACGCTATCAGCAAACTTCCGTCGCAACCGCGCACCATGTAGTCATGTCGCGGAAAGCATTCTTCTATGCGGATCACCTCCGGCAAGAACTCCGAGTCGGGGGACCAACTAAAATTTCCTTGCTCAGAATCTACTTCGCGGCTCAGCTGAAACGACAGGCCGTCGAGATGCGTTGGGTCCACTTGGTCCAGGGCCCGGATTAAGCTGTGCGGAATTTCGGAGCATATGCTTCCGGTGCGAAAGAACGATTCCGCGCGGTCCCGGGTCAATTTTGGAAACAAAACGTCGATATGGGCGGGGACAAGATTTTGCTGCGCGTGCCCAAATTTTTTCGGGAACCCGCTCTTGGAGGTGCCCAGATCTTGCACAAAGTCTCCGAAGATGTTTTCACGGTGGTAAGTGAAAGAAGAAAGACTAACATCCGGCCAGGCGAGTGCGAAGGCAGCGGTCGCGCCGCAGGAAAGCGCGGGGACTGGTGCTGCGTGGAGCTTTTTCAGAACGCGCTGCTGCATCATCGGATCGGTGGCGGGATCCCAGGTTTCCATGGAAAAAAAAACTTGATATTGCTCGACAGTACAGGGGAAATGCCTCGGCATGTCCTCGACCCAATCAGCAGTGCTTTTTTTCCAAACGTCCTTTGCGTCCAATTCGTTGTCGATGTGGAAATTCAAAGGGTCGTCCTTCTCGACGCGGAGCAGGAGTTGCACGCCGAGGCCGACCTTGCCTTTCATTTCGTCCAGATCCTTCAATATATCCTGCAATATTACGTACCTCGTCGAGAAGTTTGCTGCGAACCGCACGGAAAGCCCGCACTGCAGATCAACGCAGTGGGAAGTATCATACTCAATGTTCTCGACTAACCCTGCGATCTTCATGCTCAAGAGGCAAGTCTTCTCGGCTACCCCTGCGATCCGGCAAGTGTTCCGGTCCTGCCCGACGTGGTAGAGGTCTTGTGCCGTACAGCGGGTGACGGATTCCTCATCTGCCGGATCCACGAAATTGACGATGAGTGCCGGTTTGCCGACGATGGCGTTCGGGTCCGTCCAGTATGAAGTGATTTTTGGAGAAAGAAACCTGTCTCCGATCCACACGCGCAAGGGAAGAGGATGCTCAACGACGTCCATCACCGAGAGCAGCGTGGCGGGAATGCCGGACGGATCCCCCGTGCGAAAGAAGTGCTCTGCCTTTTTGCGGCCCAATTTTGGAAACAGCAACTCAAGATGTTCAGGGACGGGGTTTTGTTTGGCGCGGCCGAATCTCTTCGGGAATCCCGGCGTCGCGGAAGTGACGTCCCGGGCGAAGCGTTCGAAGTATTCCTCTCGCAAGCCCTTCTGGCTCATGTCCTCTCCTGCTAGTGCGTAAAGCGCGTCGAGTGCCGGGTGTCGTTCGGGAATTTCGGCTGAGCGGAGCGCCTGCGTCATTTGGGTAATACCTGAGGGAGACTCTTCATCGGTTTCGTCAGCGTCCTCGTCCTCGCTGCGTTCGTGCTCGCGATATAATCGCTGGTTATCACAGGGGCGTCGAAAAAGAAGTTGGCAGCGCTCCACCGCAACCATCGGCGATGAGTGACCGGTTCTGGGACACTTGTCGCCGTAGGAACCGCCAAATCGTGACGCCCACGCGTCAGGGTCCACCAGGACAGCCGCGAGATTAGTTTCCCAAACGTTGAATGCAAAATTATCTGGGTCCCACAACGTCAGCGCGTCGTCCAGCTGCCACGTCAGCCATGGATCGTTCGTTGCCGGGAAGCGAAACACTATTTCCAGCTGCATGTTGGGGAACGGCAAAGCGCCCTGAAGCCGCAATCTCACGCCGTTTTGCAGATCGACCGTGAAGTAGGACCGCCAGTGCGCATCGACATCACTCACGAGCGTTTTTCCTGCCAAGGTGCAGCACAATTCTCGGAAGTTGAAGAGCTTTGGCTCGTCCCCCTCCTCGGGACCGAAATCCACCTCGAGCTGGGCAAACCGAAATCCAACTCGAACTCTGCCACGACGTGTCCATAAAAAGTTCTGCTGTTGCATGGGATCCCGAAAAGTCCGGGTCTTGTAGGACTTGATTTTGGGGTACCAGGAAGTGGTCTTGTCCTTCACACACAACCCCAAAACTTCATGAGCCTGCATATGACCTGCTCAACAGCTGTTACAATCTGAAACGTTACAAGAGCAATGCTGCTAAAAGTGCGCTGTTTAGTCTACTGTCACGGTATTGCGCATGACAAGTTACGGAGCTTGAACCCCAATGAGAATCTGGCGAAATTTGTATTGCGAAAAGCGCAGAGCTCTGCATGTTCCTCGTGCTCTCTATGCAAGACAAACCCCAAATTCTGTTGCAACGCTAAAGATTGTAACATCTGAGCAAGCCATACTGCAAGCGCTTATCGCGTTTTGTGTACACCGGAGGGTCCGGCATGAAGCGGTAAATCAAGCGCCCAATCTCGTCGGGGACGGGGACCGGAAACGCCCGCTGGACGGTTTCCGGGTTATTCTGTTGCCCAGTGACTATGCAATGCAAAAGTAGCAAATGTGATTAATATATCGTACCAATTCTTAGCAGCAGCATCATGGCAGCACAAATTTCTGCGTAATTTTTCCACAAGGAAACGAAAAGCTGAAACTTCTATTTGTCATGCGTGTTATGCAAGACGTACGATATGAATAAGTATTACCATTGCAGAGGGTAGCAGCTCTGCTATCTGTTCCTTCATCTGCACTTCTACCACCATTCACCGACGTCGTTCCACCACCAGCTTGAGGATTTTCCACAGCACCAGACCGTCTTCTTGGCGAAGCCACGGAGCCCGACGTAGTGGATGTTCCTGCGTCAGGTGGTTGAAAGGCAGAACCGACCGCCCGGAAACCGTATCCTGTGCAAAACAAAGTATCGCACGACGCGTATGAAACACGTACGACAATAAATTTTATCCGCATGAAAAATGAAATTCGTCATGCGGATTCTCCTTGAGAAAGAACTTTGTAATGCATGACTGCGATTAGTACGAGAACGAGTGCGATACTTTTCCAATGCATAGATCGCGTTGGTGATTTGCAATAACACGCGCGGACGAGGAACTCAAGGAAGAAGCTGCACCTGTCGAGAAAAAAAATTCATTTGATTTGGTAAACTTGTGATGCATGCAGACGGTATACCACTCACTTTGAATGAACACGGTGGATCTGGACTTCTAACTACCTAAACTGCCCATTACTAGAAGAAACGCATTACAGGTTCTCATTCTCATCTCGGGGTCGGGAGGTTGTACTATACAGAGAAACTCGCTTGTGATGCAAAACTTGGATATCAAAATCGTTAAACTTCTAGAACACATTTTTCCTTATCAAATACCGATCTTTTCCTGCGTCGTCGCTGCGGCCACACCACGTCGGTCCTCGTCAGCCCTCGTCGGTGGTAGCAAAAATGTTGGTTGTTCTTGTGCACTAGCAACTGCAGATGCCGCCACACTTGTTTCTCTTTGTTCCCCGTGCGTAAACAACTCCGGAACTTCTACGCTCTGTTGCAAGTTCAATGCGCTGCTCGTGTCGTGCTCATGATCACTTCCTTGGACTGGTCCGCGTTCCGCAGAACTCGATGCACCTGCATATCAAGAAGAAAAATCTCCCCTCCCCATATCAAAACCGAAATCTGTGACGCAGATTTGTGGGCACAAATCAGCTTTCTCATGCTAGAAGCAAAGAGATGCGTATGCGGAGTGTAATGCTGGCTGGCGTGGGAAAGCCTTGCGCCTTCATCATGACAGAAAAGAAAACGAGTGGAAGTGGATAGCAGCATGACAAATTGCCTGCAAACGAATCCGGAGCTGCCTCTCGTGGCCTTTTAGCACTGCAAAGCGATTTTTGCCCTCAAATACAGCATCACAAATTTCGTTTTCGATATGGGGAGGGGGGATTTTTCGTTTTGATACTGCAACGGAATGAGCGCCTCGTCGTGCTGCATCGGCCGGCGCAGACGTAGCTGTCATCGCCGCCGGGACGAGACTTGCTTCAGCCAGCTGGTGGCCTTGACCAGACACGAGGGGTGGGTTGCTGGACGAACTAGAACTGGAACTGCTGGGGGCTTCCGGCTGTCTATGCTTTGTGAAATTGATTATGACCAGCTCCTGCAATGTCAATTTGTTTTTGTTATGCAGGTATTATGCCTATTGCCATGACAAATTCCATTTCGTGCCGTCTTAAGACGATCGTCTACGACGACTGCATGACGGATTGCCATATGAAGAGCTGGTACATTTATTTCCATCTGATAGGACCGTCCCAGCGTACGCGTAGCTTGCCCTGCTTGTAGTCCCAGCGTGTCAGAAATTGCGGCATTACCGCCCGAGGGCGGCGCAGTTGTCGTCGCAACGTTATTGGGAACGTCGGTCCTCGCGACGACTCGCAGCTGCCGCTCGTCCTCTCTTTGTTTCTTCTCAAAGCACACCATAGCCGCTATGGGGTTCTCAAATGTTACATTCTCAACTGTTTACATGATTTGTTATGCAAAACGAGCATCAACGTCCACAAAATGAAGCTACTTCGCATGACAAATTTTGGAAGGGCTAAACAGGATGAGAATCTGTGCTGAATTTGCATTGCAGGAGTTGCAAGATCCGGCCTTTCCCTGTTGCCATTCTTGCATCACAAATTCATGTAAGAACAGTTGAGAGTGTAACAATGGAGAATCCCATAGCAGCCTGCACGCAGAGTGCGTTCAGCTTCTTCTTCGCCAGCTTTTCGGAGTACTTCTCGGCGAGCCGGTCGAAAAGGTGCTGCACATCCGGCGCGCGGATGTTGTGCAGCATTTTGCTTGATAGGGTAAATTAATCAAATCAGATTTGAACTTGTCTCGCTCCTCCTTTATTTTACTTCGTCCTATGCTACACTATAAATGAGATCGTTCCTTTGCTTACAGGAAGCTTCGTTTGCTCAGAAACTTCTGAACTAGGAATAAAGCTGGTGATGGGGTACGTATTGCCGTACTTTTTCTTTCTAGAAATTCCGCGGATGGCTCGGGGAAAAGATAGAGTTTTTTGACGGGGACAAGCGACAACATCAAAGTCGGGAATAAAATACCTCCACTTAGTAGAACTTTCGGTACTTAAACTTAGTTTGGGTCGTGGCACAGCTACATATGGCGTCACCTTCCCTATCAAGTGAAGGCTGTTTAAATAATTGGTGTATAAGAAATAAATACGTGAAAGTAGTGATTTGCGTTTTCAACATCTATTGAAGTCTTGATTTGTAAACTATGGATACAACAAGTAACCTCGCCTCTCGGATGAAAGAAAAAAGTCGCACATGCTTTGACCAAAACGGTCAACTTTGCCCTCTATGGGAAAAGCTCGAAGACAGGAAGAAAATGGAGACAGAGTTTGAGGAACCGACAGAGTTTGAGGACGCAAAATGTTCTATGATCCTCCTCAAAGAGGCTCTCGAACTCGTCGCTCGTCTGGTTTTCACGTTGTTCTTGAAAGTGATCCGGGAAGATGAACTCCAGCATCACAGCTCGGACGTCAGACCGTTATCAAAATGGCAACAAATTTCTGTTGTCTTGCCTCTTTCCTAGTATATTAAATTTTTCCACCATACTCAAATTTTTGTACACTTTCGCAGGCATGATTCAAATTTTTTTGGTAATGTTCTTGTACAGAAGTTGCATAAAAAAATCTCGAAACTACACGGTGCTATCATGACACGAAAGAGAGCGAAACAACTATGACATAAAATAAGTATGACATTTTTGCATGTGCTTTCCAGAGCGAAACTGTGTTACAAGTTCAAGGAAGCACTGTGCTAATATATGTAAATGACAAAAAAAAAAACTTGATGACTGCCTTTATCATTGCGTAAAGTTGAGATAGCGTTATTTGCTAACATCAGATTTGCAAAAATGCAATTGGATATGATCGGTTGAAAAGTTCCGCTCCCCGGAACTTCTCGATCGACTACCTCTACCTGTGGAGGCACGGGGTGGGTACAGGCAGTCGCAGGAGCTGACAGGACTCTCATTTTTCTTCCGTCCCACTCGTGGTGGCTTCCTGCCAAAACTCCTTGCCGACCCCAATGAACTCCAGCGCCTTCTCGCACACCGCCCGCTCGGTAAATCCCGGAAAAAAACAACGTACTCATATACTCATAGTTAGGGTTGCAATACAACATCACGAAAATGTAGCAGCTCGTTTCTCAATATACGAATAAACATCGACTTTCAGAAAAATTGTATTAGGCATGCAAGTGATTTACATATGATGTACGAGTACGACACTGTGTTTCTTGCAATGCATACGGCAGCACAACCGAGAAAATTCGAGCATGTTTTCGCGTAAATTTCGTACGACCCGTTACCTTCTGTAAACGCCGTGTCCGCCCTCCCGAGGTACCTGCTAGATTATCCAATATGAAATCCTCTCCGCCCGCAATCTGCAACTGCAATCATGGCAGCACGCACGCAAATACTCTACGAGTTCACTTCTGTCATGCCAGTTCTGCGTCACAGAGCGGGCGCGAGGCCGGTGTTGCATGGCGTATCTCACCTGTTGCAAAGTTCATCTTGGCCTTGAAGAGCGACACGGCGGTTGGTGTGGCTGACCCCGGCGGAGAATACAACACGATTTCCTGTAGACCGGGAGTTGGCGGCTGACGGTCCTAGTTTCGAAGTGGAGAGGTTTATTGTAACGCAAACTCAATACCGAGGACGAGCTCAAATTCAAAATCAAATCCGAGCACCGTCTAGAAGTAGTCTTCACATCTTACAAATCCGCACTAACAATCTCACTATTCAAAGTCTAGTTTTTGAGTTTCTCATGCTTTAACCGTACTTATTCTCAAGGAGCTTTCCCTAGCGTGACCGCAGCCATGGCAGCTCATCTCCTTCGGAGTAGTAGAAAAGCCAGCATGTCATGCGGACTCAAGATGAATCAGGCCTTCTTTGCTTGCTGTTCTCTTTCTCACTTTTTGTTTTTTTCTTTTCCTTTATCTTTCGATCGCAGTAAGAATTACTTAGCCTGCTCCTGTTTGCTTCCTGGCCTTTTTCCTTGCGCAGACGAGTTCTTTCCTTTGCCTCCATCATCATGCTCATTTTCCGCACGTCGATCTACGAGAAGACGAAACAGTGTCCTTCAAAAAATGAACCAAAAATTGTTCATACACAGTCTTCGTCGCCACACAGCGTCGCGAGGGACAAAGCGGGCTCGTGCGCATTCACGGACTTGAAAAGGAGCCGCACTGGACGATGGACCACGGAGCTCACGGAGACGGACGCAGTATGGTCTCGCAAAAACGTCTGAGTCTCGAGTCGTGTAAAAACGCTATGAATGATGTCGTAGTTTTCCGCAAGAAAATGAAAATCCTGGAAACTAGTCAGGGGCTTCGCGCAGGAGACCGCGACCACGATCCACCGACTTCCTCGAGGACGAAACCCCTGCGCACAGCATGCAAGAATGTGCAGCTAGTACTGCTCCTGTGGTTCAGTTCAAGAAAGGAGCAGGTCCTGATGATCTGCATGTTCCGTATCCATTTGTCAACCACACGGCCCCAACAAACCCAAACGTCTTTATGTTGGATATGCATCTCTATCGCGCTGCTCTTCCTTCGCGAGCGACAGCTTCTGTCTGCCGACGACAAAGCTGATTTTCCCTTCCCGGAAATCTTTTGTTTTCTCGCTGGAGGCGGAATATCCAATGGAAACATGTCTGGGCAGCTTGGAAAAGCGCAACGCTTGTCATGCAAATTTTACAAGACTCGTGAAATAAGTCGGTAATATTGCCCTAGCATCACAGATTTCCTGAACGCTTCTTGTTCTAGATGCCTGTTGGGCCAGACAGATGCCATCGCCGCGTAGCAAAAACTGGACTCCTGTTTCTGCTCACGCAATACAGATTCTTGCAGAATCCAAAAACAGCATAACAACAAACTTCACTCTTCCACCTGACCCAGACACATTTGCATTTGATACGACCCATTCGTCTTCAAATCGAATCAGTAAACTTCCGTTGCGACCTATGGTGTGGGAAAATTCCTCCTCCCCACTCTCAAATCACATTATACTTTGGAACGCCGATTTGCGTACTGAATTCAGCCCTGTCTTGCGAGATGGCAAGTGTAGAGGTCTTTCGTTGCGTCATGCACGCGGGTGGCTGCATGCTAAAAAGCTACGCCGAGAAATCCACACTCGAGGAGGTACTGAGATCCGTCTGTCGTTGAAGGCGAGGCAGGGCTGATCTGTGCACACGTATGCACAGGTATAGCATCACAAGTTCCGCTTTGAATATGCCGAGAAGGGATTTTTCCTTTTGGTACAACCATGCAGCATGTAGCAGGGGGACGAAAATCGCTGGTAGAGGTTGTAGCGGTCCGGATCCAAATACCTGTACAAGCCGGAAAGGAGTGTTGGGTCCAAAATCTCTACCCACTCGAGTAAAAGTTTCGGAATTCCGGTCGGATCACCTGTACGGAAGAAGGACTCCACACATTCGCGTGACACTTTCGGAAAGAGTAGGTGGGTGTTCGCTGGGACGAGGTTTTGTTTTTCCGGTCCAAACATTTTCGGAAACCCCGGATTTGCGGAACAAAGGTCGGTTTCAAACTCTCTAAAACGATCACCTCGCCGTTCATGGTACGCGTCAAAAGGGTCCGAAAGTGCGAAGACGCTCGTCTTTGCAGCGGAGGTTTTTTCAGGGACCCCTGCTGCCCGCAGTCTCTGGGTGACACGATCAATCGTCTCGCTGATACGATCGACGTCTCGCTGAGAATGTGCGCGCGACGAGAAGAAGACTTGGCAGCGTTCGATGTTAATCGAGATCGGTCTTCTCCTTAGATCGGTACGATCATACCAGATTTCCTCGGCCACGTCATGGCGATGTCCACTACTGTCGTACTCTTGCCAGTCCACCCCATGTCCCGAAAAGCGGCCGCGTGGGATCTCCTTGGCGGGGACATCAAACTAAAAATCACCCTTCGTCCCCATGCTCAAACTGAAACTTTTTCTGCAAGTTGAGATGCGTAGTACGTAAGTCACTTTGTATTTTGGCATGAAGCATGATCATCTTCTATTTGGCGTAGGATCATGCCTCTGGTGTTGTAGGCCAAACAGCATCTAGAGAATGGTGGACGGCACCATGCAAAAAGCCGACCTCGACGCCCCCCAGCTTTAGCTTTGCCAAACATAGCCGCCGGGGCGGGGGTAGTGAGGTCGTGGGCGTTTTCTTGCCGGCTGCCGCCTTGGCCGCGGCTTTGCTTTTTCTGGGCTCGACATACCGCCGTGAGTAGCATTATGCCGCACGATATGGCGGCCGCTCGAGAAACATTGCAAATTTTGGCAAATCTCCGAAATTCCTTTCCAGAGCCCAGCCCCCATGCTATGGCGCCGATCCGGGTGCCACGGGGGGCGCCCAAAAAGCGAAGAAAAATCGGGCCCATAGCATGCGGATTGGCTTTGCGCGTCTGGGGCGCTTTTTCTTTTTCGCGTTTTTATTTTTCACGCCGGCGCTTTTTGCAAAGCTTCCCAGGCTCTGAA